CCGAAAACACCAAAAACAAAAACCCCAAGATAGTTTTGAAGGGAGGCCATACAAGCAAGAGCAGTCACATTCTCAATACAAGACCAGGTGGCACCGGGCTGTGCCATGCACATTGCCTACCTACTAGAAATGCCCAGCTCTCAAATGCCAACATGCTTTTTTCTTGTTTTGTTTTACAGTACTGGGGAACACAGAGACTTTGCATTGGGCTACATCCCCACCCCTTTTTTGAAACAAGGTCTCCGTAAGTCACTCAGCTAGGTTCCAACTTGCAATCCTTCTGCCTTAGGCTCCCAGAATGCTGAGACAATAGTGTGTACCACCAAACCCAGCTCCAATGTGAGTGTTTTCACTGGCATGTCTTCCAAGTATATAGTCTGAGGGCATTTAAACCTCTCCTACTCAAAGTAGCAGTATCCTGTTATTGTCCTCAAGTTTATGAAGTTACTGTTCTCTTAGTTTCCCCAGCCAGTTGGGTGCCTTGTGGGCTGAAAACTTTACACAATGCAAGGCATAATTGGATGCTCACAAAGCAGACACCAGCTGCATCTCAAACACAAACCATAAAGCTGCTATCTCAAAGTTTCACAATTCTACTTGTAGGAATCAATTGTTAGCACAGAACTGAAGAACCACAAGTCAATCTCATCTTTGGGATTTAATACTTGACCAAAGTGGAAACTACTGGCTATCACCTGCTATCAGGTTATAAACTGTTCAGATGACATTTCATGTCTCATATTAATGAGAACTCTGTAAATTCCAACAAAAACAATCCATGTCTTAAATGAAGCACTGACGGTAATATGGAAGTGTGCAGAAAATGAAAAGATTCTCCCATTAAAATATGATGGTCTTGGGGCTGGGGATTTAGCTCAGTGGTTCTGCCACCTGCCGCCTCACAAGCACAAGGTCCCAAGTTTGATCCCCAGTTCCAAAAAAAAAAATGATGGTCTATACCACAGCTCTCAAAAGCCAAGGCAATAATATGCATGAGAAGCTGCTTCACACCTAAGCTGCCGGACAGATGGCTGGGCAGCCACATGTGCAAAGCAGAGCCACCAGAAGCCATCCATCCAACCCAGTCATCTAACTGGCATTGAAAATCTCACCTTACTATAACTCCACTTCACCCAAAGCATGTCCCTACCCAGCAGTATAGACTGTAAAACCCAGGGCATATGAGAAAGTGGACCCGCAGGGCCACCCAGATCCACAACCTGTATTTCCACAAGTATCCCACTCCATAGTCTCGAAGACCCCAGGAGGTGCTGCTCCCCTGCTATGGGGGCACATCAGGATCACCTGAAGAGCTTCTAAAAACACACCTGGGGGTGCAGTTCAGTGGTAGAGTGCTTGCCTGTCATTCTCAAGGCCTTGGGTTTCATCTTCACCAACACAAAATAACCAAAACAAAAAACACCTTGATAGTCTCACTGACTCAGTGGCAGTGGAGGAGGCGGTGATGTGCAGTTTAAAAAGGTGTCTAGGTGATTTTTACAGTCAAGGTGAGAAGACAGTTCTATGAGATACGAATGTTGGCAACAAACACCTGGCACATAGCATTCTTTTAAAAGTATGGCTCAAGGGGCAGGGATTTAGCTCAGTGGTGCCGCCGCCTGCCTCACAAGCGCAAGATCCCAAGTTCAATCCCTGGAACCAAAAAATAAATAAATAAATAAATAAAAGTATGGCTCAGTTTTCTCTGATTCCATTTTTTCACACACAAAAACCAGACCCTAAAAACCAAGGCAGCTCTACTTTAGATGCCTCCCTGGATTGGAAAAGAGAAATGTGGTACTCTTTCCATCCCTGAGGTTTCAGCTTAGGATGGAGGATAACCAAAGTAGGAAGCACAGATAGCAATGTGGTAAATTTCTGAACCATTAAAAATGTATTCATTAAATCCTGTGCAAATCACAATACAGCTGTTTGCAAGGGACAGCAGCTGTGCTCTGTGGCAGAAGCACTGTGGGGACAAAGGCACAGAACAGGAGCTGTCAAGGCAAGCCTGAGAGCAGACATGGCCATTTCTGTAATGGCAGCAATAAAAACCCAGCTAGCAAGTTAGTCAGTGAGACTTGGGAGGACCTGCTTCTGTATCCTAGAAATGTCTACTGTACCTCTTTTCCAGAGAAGTCAAACGTCCCCTTTTAATTGGCTCATTGTTTCATTATAGAAAAGTAGACAAGGTTGGTGATTTCTTTTAAAAAATCCTTTCAAGGAAAATGATCAGAAAATATTAGCAACTTGTTATATTTTCAGGCAAAAAGGCTGTACAAAAGCCAATTTCAAAAACACTGAGTTGTGAACATGTGTATACACGGATACACAGTGCTCCCCTCATCCGAAGGGATGCTTCCCTATGGCCTCCTGTCTTCAGGCTCCTTGATGCTCACACCACAGGAAGACAGGACAGGGATGAACCTGAGAAGATCGCTAAGGGTAAAGTAGGAGGCTTCTACAGGGGATAAAGGGAATTAACTCTCAGGCTTTGGCTTATGCCAGCCCTGTTCCAAGAACTGCAAAAAATTGGGAGCCCCTCCACCAAGATCCCATCCTTGGGGACCAGGAAAATTGCCCAAGTGCCTGAACATAGAAAAGCATCTTCTCAGCTAGTAAAAAGGACTCTCAGAATCCAGGTAAGCAGGGTGAATGAAACTACTTTACAAGACTGCCACAAAGTCTCCCCAGGTAGCAGTCCACTCACCTGCACTAGCTCACTGAGCATATCCACATTTCTAAAAATAGTGAACCAGAACTCTGGGATTCCTTTGGGATTTAGCTCTTCAGCTGCTGCTTCTTCTTTCTCTGCTATGGCTACTTTATTTTTCATGTCTCCCTACAAAATAAACATGCAAAATAAAACAATTATCACAAGAAACAAATTTTACAAATTGCTCAAAGGCTTAATGAAAAATCAAATTTCAGAGTCCTGCACGAAGAGGTTTCTCCTTTAGAAATAAGTCAGCATCTTCAAGCACAAAGAAGTATTCAAGGGAGGTGTAGTTCATGATTAAATTTCACAGCAAACAGAAAAAGCTAAATAAATGGCAAAATGTCATCAGACTTGTAAAAGCTATCCAGTGCTGAAATGGTGAGCTACCAGTCACTGGATGAGAAAGAACGAGGACTCAGCAGCAGCCTGGAGATGTGACCATATCCATTACTGTTCAAATGGAAAAACTCAGTTCAAGAACAAATGCACTTGACCTCTGTGCACAAAGCTCTGGGTTTGATCCCCAGCACCATGAAATGAGTTAAAAGCCAGACTAATTACAGAGCAAGACCCTGTCTCAAAAATACTAAAATTAATGGAATAGTCACGCAGGGTTTTTTCAACTAGCAAAAGCAACTTTTCTTGAGTTTTAAGGAGTGAACACATAGCTAAACTCATGCACAGCCATGGTTTCAACTGGGCTAGGTTCAACCTATTTTTAAAAGATCAAAATCACATATAGCTAACAAAATTAACACATTTTGAAACAGAGGGTATAGCTCAGTGGTAGAGTACCTGCCTAGCATTTGTGAGGTCTCAGCTCAATCCCTAGCACCAAAAAAAAAACCAACTTCTACAGACCTGGAATAGGACTGTCACCAGAAAAGTTAATGAGTATGAGTGGTAGGACAGTGTACACTGTGACATCAGCCATTACTTACCAGTGTAGAAACACACCACTGGTTAAAAGCTTCATAAGGCTTGTCACCATCACTGAGCAGGATGGTACAAGGTCTCCAGATTCCACTATTCCAGTGCCTGAGGCCACAGGTGTGCCGTTTCCCTGATGACCTCCGCTTTCTCTGGACTAAGACTATCCCTGGAGCTGTAATTTATCCTCTGACTCTGTTTATTTCAACACAGTGCTGCACAAGGATGGCTGAAAAAGGGCTGTGTCTCATCACAGAACTGGCAGCACCTAATCAGATGCCAGACAGTGTCCCAAGAGATCTGTGTACCATGACCCAGGGGAAGGGGAGCATCTACTACTGGGAGTACTATTCTTGGGAAAGTTTTATCCATGATTAAATACCATCAAAAATGTTCTTTGTTTCTAACAACACAAGTTGCGTATTTTTTCTTTCCTGTTCTGGGAGTTGAACCCATCACCTTCACACTGAGCTACATTCCCAGCCCTTTCTAAACTTTGAGAGAGCGTCTTGCACAAGGTTTGATCTTGTTTCTCAAAAGTGTTGGGATCACAGGCATGCATCATTACCTTGCCTAGCTTATAGTCTTGACTTGTGTAGTGATTTTGATTGCAATTACTTTGTATCACCGGGGATTTAGCTCAGTGGTTCCGTAGCCTGCCTCACAAACGCAAGGACCCGAGTTCGATCCCCAGTACCAAAAAAATTACTTTGTGTTCATTCACTAAGGTTTACATTTGTTTGTTATAAATTTTGTTTATATATTATGGATCTCAATTTTTAAAAGCTTATTTAGAAAAACCTTACAGCCAACTTGTCCTCCTCTTCATTTTCACTGTGCCATTCTGATTCTGCATCTGTTGGCTCCACATCACCAGTGATGAATTCTCTTCTCTGTACAAAAACAGGAACCATTAGAATTTTATTTGGAAACTCTAGATGGGTTTATAAATAACGTCTCTGAAAAGATATATTCCATGAGTCCTGGGTAAACATGGGTGTCTCAGTTAGAGGTGGAATTACAACACGTTAATCAAGAGAATCAACAGCCATCCCCACCTTGTCGAACAGAGGTTGGTACAATGCTGCATACTTTCTCTCCAGGTCATGGACTTCTTCATAGAACTTGGCTTCTATGTGTGCACACCTCACTTGAAGCTGCTTCAATGCATTAATTCTCCTCTTGACTGCTTTGGGTAATCTAGAAAACAGGAAAAACATTCTTATGTCTGCAAAATAAAGGCCGTGCATTTCAACTTTATTAAATTTTAACTTAACATAGAATTAATACTCTTACTATGAAGAGCTTCTGAAAATGAGAAAAGAAACCAAAAAGAAAAGGATAAACGCCCTAACAGCAAAGAATGGGCTAAAGGGGGAAGTTGAAAATATAATTCATAAAAGAAAGAACACAAAGTGTTAAACAGGAGCAAGGTGGTATCTCAATGTCCCCAAACATGTAAATTTAAGAACTGTCACTTTCCCTTAGCAAATTGGCAATCAGAAACTAACAAATACACATACCAAAACAAAAGATGTAGATGTGAAGAGGCGGAGAGCACCAGAGCCCTCTGACTGACTTTTAAAAGAGGTAGGTAAGAACCCTGTACACATTCTTTGGGTCTAATAACTCCATTCTACTGCTAGAAATGTATCCTAAGGAAATAACTGAGCCATGAAATTTATTTATTTAAAGTTCTTGAAACAGTCATGGGAAATAAAGAGGAGATTCCTAGGCCTCATCACAGACCCAAATAATCCCCCAGGGTGGGACCTGATCCTGCATTTTGGAAACATTCATGACAACTGAGTCCTTAAGTGCAAAGCAAGCAGCACTAGTTAGGTACTCTCCTCATCCCTGTATGGCCAATGTAGAGCCAATTCTGTGCCCACAAAAACACCCCTGGGCTGGGCGCAATGGCACACACCAGTAATCCCAGCACTTGAGAGGTGGAGGCAGGAGGACTGCTACAAGCTTGAGACCAGCCTGGGGTACATAGTGAGTTCAAGGCCAGCCTGAACTACATAGCAAGACCTCATCTCAACAACAAACAAACAAAACAGCTGTTTCCTTCAGTACACAGTCCATTAAGGCCACAGCCTCAGCTGCAGGGCCAGGGAGGCTACAGGAGGCCACACTGCCACGGCAGCTATGTGTACACAGAGAGCAGCCCAAGATGTCTAAGCAGCAGGGTGGGAGTAGAGTGGCATGGAGGCCAGCAACTGGAAAATCCCAATGCCTGGAGTTGTAGAGCATGCAACACAAATGGGGCAGCATCATATTGGAACAGAGGAGGCAGAAAATACAGGAACAAAGGACCAAGAAGTTCTTTTAGCCAAATTAGGAGGCCAGATGACATTTTGATCTCAGGTGGGGGAATATTCTGAGGGGAATTAATGGTGTGTCTCTTACTGTAATAAATATAAACATTCTGACCTCAGCCTACTCCTCCCTGCCATGCCCACCTCCAGTGATCTAAGAAGTCCTCTGAACTGCCACAAGATGGCACTGTGCACCACCTAGAAGTCTACTACCTGCTCATTATTCCCCACCTGCTAGCCTCTTTACTAAAGAACAAGGCAACCTCTCTCATTTTTGGATCCTTGTGCTGGTTCTCTGCAGCCAACATCTGTGGAATGAAAAATACATTTGCCAAATGGAGTGGTGTCCACCTTTAATCCCCGACTACTCAGGATGCTGAGGTAGTAGGATTGCAAGTTCCAGTCCAGCCTAGGGAGCTTAGTGAGACCAAGTCTCAAAAAAGTGGGGAGGGGAGGAAGAGATGTGATTCTATTAGAACACTCCCTGGAGGTCCTGGACATAAGCCCCAGCATGTGGGCGATAGGCTGGGTGTGGAGGTACACCCCTATAATCCCAACAGTCTTGGAGGCTGAGGTAGTTCAAGCTCAGCCTGAGCAATTCAGCAACTTAGTGAGGCTCTGTGTCAAAATAAAAAGGGCTGGGGCTGTAACTCAGTGCACAGGCCCTGGATTCAATCCTCAGGACTGCAAACAAAAAACAAAGCTCAAACAACACAACCATATTTATTTCTATTCTGAGACAGTGAAAGTGCTTTATTTTCATTTTATTGCTCAAACTGCCACACATCTTAACAGTATACTTACGTTTCAATGTAGCTGGAAGGAGTGTGAGAGACATTGTCAAGTCGTTCCTGTAGAGCTGCCAGAACTTGTGGATTCTGCATCACCTGATCTGTGAGCTTTTCTATTAGGAGTCAGAAATAAAACCAAAAATATTTACAATATATCTACCACAGAACAGCCAAGAGTAAAAAATTAATAACGTATCTGCTTAGCTACTAATTTGTAAATATAGCAAGCAACTTCTTTAAAACATCTATTTTGAAAACAGGTAACTTTATTTTAAAAAAATATTTAATAATCTTTATGAATCACCTGATCAAGTGGCTGGGAACACCTAGAGACTCTTGGTTCTTGCCTATAGCTAAACCTTGACCTCAACACTGAAGACATCAATACCTGCCAAGCTCAGGTGGTCTGTCTGATTACCTATATGCCCTGCCCAAGCCCAACTGTGGTGTCCAGAAGCCAACGACAGGGATGAGCTCAGCTCCTCAAAGTAAAACCACATCTGCCTACTTGTGCCCTCACTCACTTCTCAGTCCACCAAAGCCACCTCACATCAGTTTGCAGTCTACACTGTACACTCAAGTTTCTTTCGCTCGTGATGCCCACTTCTGCCTGTAATGGCCTTTTCCTCTCAAAACTACTTCTTCCAGGAAGCACTCCCTGATCACTCTGCCCCCTGACAGCTTACACACCTCTGTATTAGGCTTCTACTTAGTTTGTATTTAGGTATGTTTCTCAAAAAACAACATTGAAAGGACAGAAACTGTCTTTCACTCACATGAAACAATGGAGTGGGGCAATATTTACCTAGTTCATAGCAGACTTTGAAGTGTTTGCCAAACAATTTTTCTTGTAATGACAGAATACAGAAACTCAAACATAGTGCTCTTCCCTTAGTCAAGAGGCAGTAATATTTTGGAGCTCTGATATCATAAGGGTAAGCCAAATACCAAATATGCATTCAATTTGAATACAACCACTAACATGAAACACTGCGTATGCACATCAATGCATATATGAAACTATAGATAATATATAACCTGTTAATTACTACATGCATATATACAAGCACATCTCTAGCTCTGTCCACTGAAAGGACTAAAAACAGTGACTTAGCTATATTCTAGTTTCTAGTTATCATTCTTTATCAAAAGGAATGAGGATCTTTGAGTAAGTAGTCGATACTGGGGTTAAGGCAAGGAAAGATCAAGGTGAAACCGGATATCACATTGTGTTAAAAAGCTAGAGGTACCTAAAACCTGATGGAGATAAGGACTTAAGAGGCCAGTTTGAAGGGACCCCAGCAGCCCAACAGGACAACTTGCATATGCAACTGAAAACACACTGAATAAAGTAACCCACAAGCCCACAGTGACACTAACAAGGGAGGGTGTGCTCTTTAGTAGGTAAGGTGCAACAGATCTGGTAGAATTGGAAAGGCACTCTTTTGCAACCAAGAACATTACTGAATCTGCAAGAGTATCACTGAGTACAAAGAAGTGAAGAAGGGGATAGCCTCTTCTGCCCAAAAGACTGCTTGTAAGGTCAAAGAAGTCTGACAGACACCATCATAACCAAGTTGTCTATCCCAGAGTCCCTAGTAAAGGGCCAAGCTGATACCATGTGCCTCCTGATGTACCTACCATGCTGCATCATGAAGAGGAAATGCCCAGACAAAACCAGACTGTAGACATTCTAGACAACTGGCCCAGAGTGAAGTTAAAAGTGGAGAGATGAAGCTAGGACAAAGAGATGTAACTAAGCAAGATGCATGGTCATTGTGGGGTGAAAAGAATTGCTGAGAAAACCAGGGAATACTACATGAGCATTACATAATAGTACTGTATCGAGGTTAAGTTTCCTGGTTGTGATGGCATTGTGTTCGTTCCATTTTTTAGGTGATTTTTACTAACTGTTTTGGGGGAAAATGATATATACACAACTTGCTTTCAGATAGTTGGGGGAAGATACAGATTTCTTAATGAGGAAAAACATCTCACCTGTGGATTTAAGAATACATTGACATATCTGGGATTTGTGTTAAAACAAGCAGGGAAAAGAATGAATGTTGGGCCGGGGATTTAGCTCAGTGGTTTCGCCACCTGCTGCACAAGTGCAAGGAACTGAGTTCGATCCCCAGTAACCCCCCACAAAAAAGAATGATTGATTGTTAAGGACACAAATGAAGACTGCTCATGTGTTTTGATGCCCAAGCCAAGTGAGGTCAGGTACAAAGAGGTGCACTAGTCTCTGCACCTCTATAGAGTCTGAATTTGTTACTGTGACGGTCAATCTTGACTGTCAACTTTGGAGACAGAGAGGTAACTAGAGTGTGTGAGTGCTAAGCACATCAAAGCATTAACCCACTGACAAGTGCACAGCTGGATGGGCCATTAGGAGGTCTGATCAAGTTGGAGGAGTAGGTTAGTGGGGGTGTACTTTTGAAGTGTGTATGTTTTCTCTGGCTCTTTCCCTGATCTCTACTTCCTGGCTGTCATGAGGTAAGCCATTTTCCTCTTCCATGCTGTTTTTGTTTTGGAGTCAGCCAACCCCTGAACCAAAACCTCTAAGACCATGAACCAAAATAAACCTTTTTTCCTTTAAATTGTGTATGTCAGGTATTCTGTCCCAGTAACATGAAGGTGACTAATACAGGTATCATAAAAACATTTCTAAATGGGATACTGATTTTCATCCTTAAATCTTTGAAGGACGAAAATCCCTTACTGGTTTATTACCATAATAAATATTCCAGAGAGCAGACTTCCTACCCTGTGTGCAAACTCTCCAACTGCTGTTTTACCTGCAGAGAACTGACCTGTGTTACTTGCATTTTTAGCAGCTTCCACAGAATCTGCAGGAACCCCATCTGAAAAACTAAGAGTTTAAAAATATTACCATAAAGTTCCAAAAAGACAAAAGTGTAAGTGAATACTTTTCTTATTTCTTCAATATACCATATTAAGAAGGATCTCTCTATAGTGACTATAGATTTATGTCAAAGAGAACACCGACATGCATGTCTGCTACCTAAGAGAGACTTCCCCTTCTGTTCTGGAAAAAACAAAACAAAACTACCACTCAGCAACCCCTATCAGTCCAACTTATAGGCTGCCCTGATAGTCCCAAACACAATGGAGATCCATGAAAACAGCCCTCAGAGTTTTCACGAGCAAAGTGCTCAAACATACCTTCCTTATGAAAAATAAACATCAAAGAAAATGAAAAACCAATACTGGCCTTGAACAATATACAAAAAAATCTTTCCCTTGACCACTGATGGCTATATCAAGTTATGTGACTCTACCCGGGGAGGAGGGAAGTAGGGTTAAGACCTAGGGAACAAAATGACTGTTTTCCACACAGTCTGCAAGCACAATGTTCACCTCTGAAGCAGAAGCAATTTCTTCACCAACTCAGATATTTACACACAAAATGGGCATCGGCTACACTGTGAATGCACTTAACTTTTTTTTTTTTTTGAAGACAGAGTCTCGCCATGTAGTCCGGATCAGCCTTCAACTCCCTGTGCAGCCCAGGCTGGCCTCAAATTTGCAGCAATCCTCCTGCCTCAGGCTCCCAAGTGCTGGGATTATAGGCGTTTACAACTATGCCCAGCAAAGACATTTGATTTTGATTCTAAAGTTTACTCAAATATAGTCTGGCTCTTGCTCACCAACTACATTTTTTTTTTTTTAACCAACCATTTTTAAACTCCAATACACAAAGTTCATTTTGGCTTACCTGTTATCTGCCATCTGAATGCTTTTATCCCCTACAAATGAAAAAGAATTACAATTATATTCACAAACAAAAACACTTACTTAGATGTATTCTTAAAACTGACCACGTAAGGGATGGAAATACACTAGAAGGGGCAGGATAGACCTATCTGGGTGGAGGATATGTCCCAGGTCTTGTATGATGTTACCTGCATACATACAGTTATCACAACTCATTAAATGTTATTACATATACGAGCTATATGATTATAAGTAAAATTTTACTCATAAAATCTCTCTTATTGTCCCTAAAGTGACCAGATTTCACAATAACAATCAATTCTAATTTGTCTTACCTCTATCATAAATTTATCAACAGAACATTTAGCAATGCTAGCCAAGTTATCTTAGAGCAATTCAAAGCAACCACTGTTTACACTGTTGCCCAAACTAACCCACAGGGTGATATTCTACTTTTATCTGCTCATTTTGTATCTTTTATTATTTCTATGCTGAAGATGTACTACTGTATAAAAACATTATGTAATACACTCAGTATGATCCCATTTTTATAAGACATTTAAAAAACAATTATCTTGGGCCAGGGATTTAACTCAGTGGTGCTGCAGCCTGCCTGCAGCCTGCCTCACAAACGCAAGGTCCCAAGTTCATCCCTGGTACCAAAAACAAAACAAAACAAAAAACTCAAAAAAACCAATTATCTCACACAGCTTGGTGGCGCCAGCCTGTAACGCCAGCAATCGGGAGGGTGAGGCAGGAGGATTGCTGGGAGTTCGAGGATAGCCTGGGCTACATAGTGAGTTTGAGACCAGCCTGAACTACATAGCAAGAGCCTGTATCCTGTCTCAAACAAAACACAAACAAGCAAACCCCCAAAAACCACAAAAAAACAAACTCCAGATTATCTCTGGTGGTGCAATTAGGCAACTTTCTACATATGAATAGTAAAGATGGATTCTAGGGTGCTTTAAAAAAAAAGTATCACCTAAAATGTTCCAATAAAATTAATGAATAAAAAAGTATCAGTTATTTAATTAGTTCTTAGTATTCTCTAAATGAAAGAACTTGACAACAACAAAATTTTAAAAAACTGATCTCACTGCATTCAAGGTAGCGCCTAAATGCATTGCTTAAAAGGACCTTCCATGTGCAGTATCTGAGGTGGGTTATGAGTTCTTTTTTTTTTTTTTGGTACCAGGGATTGAACTTGGGTCCTTCCGCTTGCAAGGCAGGCAGTGGAACCACTGAGCTAAATCCCCGACCCTGTGAGTTCTTTATACTCATGCAGGTGACAAAACTGCAGTGTTTTTCTGAAGACCGCTGTTCCAGCTGAAACCTGGCTACTGCCTCATTCCCAGGGATCTAAGCAAAGCCCAAATCACTCACCCACAAAGCTTTAGGGCAATGAACAGAAACATATTTGTGAAAAATGGCTCCAATTAGAATTTATGATCCATGAGTTGGGCGTGGTGATGCACACCTGCAAACCTAGTATGTGGGAGGGTGAAGTAGGAGAATCAAGAGTTTGAGGCCAGACTGGACTATATAGCAAGACTTTGCCCCTACCTCCCAAAACACAAGACGACCATGACAACGATGACAACAACAAAAGTGCAATCTACAATCATTTTGTATTTAATTCAAGTGCGTTCTTTTGTATTAGACTTTTTTATTGCTTCAAAATATGCAAAAATACTACAGAAGTATTATACTGTCTTTTTCATAAGACAATTATTCAAGGAAGCAGAAAAAAAAATCTAACAAATCCTGCCATAGCTGGCCATACTCACCACCTCCATAGCAGCCAAACCTAGCTCCATCTCAGTGAGGTTTTAAGGACCCTCCAACTGTAAACAAATACTAATTTGTTTTAAAAAATAAAATTAAAAAATCCTTTGAAGATTGCCATCACTTTCTGCAGAATCTAAATTCCTACCACATGGGATCCAAATTCCTACACTCTCTAGCTTGCCCACCTCACCAATCTATTACCAATGCTCCTCCTATCATATCTGCTGCAATCACGGGTTCCCAAGTTGATAATGTGCTTTTTTCTCACTTTATAAATACAAGTGGTGAGATGGGTAGATCTTCATAATAACTATATTTGATGACAAAATTCTAAGAGTGAACACGGCATTTACCAGTTGGGAAACAATGAGGTGGGGGTTTTCTATGACATACTTTTGGCAATGGTCTCGGTGAACCTCTTAGTTTAATAAGCCTTTCCACCCTTCAGTTATTCTTTAATTGATATGGCATTAGTAAGTAGCACTTCACTGTCAAGAGTTATGAATGGGTCCTGATACTGCCAAACTGGTTTCACACTGGCATCATCTACACTTTGGCAACAAAATTAAAGCTCTTCACTGCCTAATATACACCTAATAGCACCTTCCTTAGACCACACACATACTACTTGAGTTGCTGAAAGGAACCAACTATCCTGCCAGTGAAAGTAGCTTATCACTGCCTGTTTAATAAATACTCATTTTCACCAACCTATCAATACTACCAACAAGGCCACACCTTAATTTCCAACACTTCTTAGCTGATGTACCAAGTACTGTTTTATACTCACATCAGCTTGACCAAGGAGGGATCATCCTCAGTTTATAAGTATGGAAGCTGAGGCCCTAGTCTAAGGTTACATGGCTAGTAAGATGTGGAAATGGGTCCCAAATCCAGATCCTTCTAACATCTCTGTACTGTCACTAACCACTTCACTCCTTGCTGCCTTTATCTGCTCAAAGATTCTGCTACTAGCTCAGTCAGGGTTTGAATCCCAGTTTGGTCCCAGTTCCAAGAAGTTCACTGTGTCTAAAAAGAATGAAGCTGGGTATGGTGGTATATACCTGCACTCTCAGCTATTCAGGAGGCTAAGACAGAAGAATGGTGAACTCAAGGCCAGCCTGGGCAACTTAGCAAGAACCTGTCACAAAATTAAACAATTATAAAAAAAGAAAAGAAAGCCAGCCCGCCAGGTGTGCGTGGTGTTGTAGTCTGTAATCCCAGCACTCTGGGAGGCTGAGGGAGAAAGACCACAAATTCAAGCCCTGCCTAGGGATGCAGTTCAAGACTAGAGCCCAGGGTTCAATCCCTAGCACCAAAATAAACAAATAACATACCTGGGTGAAAACCTTCCCTTTCTTTCTTTTTTTTTGGTACAGGGGATCAAATTCAGGACCCTGCATTTGCAAGGCAGGCAGCGGCACCACTGAGCTAAATCCCCAGCCCTAGAACCTTCCCTTTCTATCCTGTTCACTAGGCAGCCACAGAGTGTGTAACAACTCCCGAATAGTAAATATTCTAAATGCACGAACACCCTATCTCTAGACAAAGGCCAAACAGACTCACCTTCCCATGACACCTACTGTAACTTCTAGACTCCTTCAATTTTCATTTTCATCTATGTGAAGACGTGCTGTTTAATACTATATTTTGTGGCTTAATGACAAGGTAGTTAAGCAAAACCTGACACAATGATCACAACAACTACAACAATGTGCCAAGAAAAGAGAAAAACAAAATGAATTTAAACAGTATGAAGGAAAATAACTTTGAAGACTAAAAATCAACAAATCAACCCAGAACTCAATCCCCAGGACAAAACATGCATTAGGATCAATCTGGTTTTGATCTGAGCTTGAACTTCTCTCACCCCAATTTCCTATTGCCTTCCTCTGTACCTCAGAGTTCCATCATCCATTAACTGGAAGTGGCATCCACGAGAGTAGCGGTGAAGGCCACCAAGTGCCTGGCACAAAACTGCACAACATCAGGCCTCTCTACTTCTTGACTACAATACCCATACAGGCTACTCTACCTATTACTTGCTATGAAGCCAGTGTTTCCTAGAAGGAAAAATAATGTAGAGTGGTGACACCTTATAAACAAGATAGAATTCAATTAGGCAAATTTCATCACCACAAATTATTTAACTTTATGTAGCAATCCCTAACACTTTAAATAGAAAGTTATGAAGAACTATGAAATGTGCAAGTATTTTTTTTTTCTTTTCTCGGTACCGGGGATCCAACTCAGGACCTTGAGCTTGGGAGGCAGGGGTGGTGCTACTGAGCTAAATCCCCAGCCCCAAAATTTGCAAGTTTGAGAAAAATAAACATCTATTTGTTTTAAATGTTGGAATGTAGGGCTGGGGATTTAGCTCAGTGGCGCTGTGCCTGCCTGGCAAGTGTAAGGTCCTGAGTTCAATTCCCAGTACAAAAAAAAAAAGGTAGAATGCCAAGTTTAATGTCAGTTTCAGGAAGATACAGTCCCAAGCCTTATCAGCGAGGTTTACCACTTTTAAAAGGAACAAGAAGCTGGATGAGGTGGCAAACACCTATAATCTCAGCATTAAGGGGCCAGGAACGTGGCTGAGTTCAAGGCCAGCCTGAACTACACAGAAAGAGGCTGTCTCAAAAAACCAAAATCAAACCCTAAACAAAGCAACAAAAGGAATCAAGGGATCTACCAGTCTACAACTGGGTGGCTGTGGTTAATAACAACATATTGTGTGAGAATCCCTGAGAAGAGACCAACATTCAAACATGGTATGGGAGAATGCTTATGTTAATTAGCTTGATTTAGCCATTCCTCATCTATATGTACTTTTTCAAAACATCGAGTGGGGGAGGGGCAGTGGCATATGCCTTTAATTGTAGGTACTAGGAGGCTGAAGCAGGAGAACGGCAAGTTTGAGGTTGTGTCCAAAGTTAAATTTTAAAGGAGGCTGGACCGGTCCCAGCACCCAGAAGGAAGCTCCCCCGCTGCCATCCCAAGCTCCTAGGACAGAGAAGGTGAGCCGTACGAGCGCCAGAAGCACCCCCTCCCGTGGAAATGAGAAGACACCTAAACAAGTCTCAAAAACAGACTTCTGGATCACCTACAGCAACCCCAAAGGGAAATAAGACAATCTGATACTCAACCACCTGGACTCTCTAAACTGGCAACAAAAGAGGAGCTGGGAAAAATGAAATCAGAAATAATTACTCAGATAACAGCAAAGATTTTGCTCATGGTGCAAGAC